CGAGCTCACACGGTACCAGTGGTCGAGTGATGAGGCGTTTCCCCAACCTCCCTCTCCTAAAAGTTGAAAATAAATTTACGATCATTAATATCTTTTCAATTTATTATTTCATGATGCTTTCTGTTTTCAGACCGTGTCAAAAATCGTGAGAACTAGCGGTAAACTAGTGCGTCGATTTAGGATGAAAGCTACCTTATACTGGAATTGTTAATGTCTCTTCCCATCCATTTTAATATTTGGAGACATGAGGGCAATCGCACCCTCTTTACATCGGACATATTTCGGACTGCCGTTAATTTTCGCAAAAGTGAGTTTCCAGAGTAAAAGGAGTCATTATTTCCATTTATTCCTTCGAAAAGAAGATTTAAAATTTGGGAATCCATACACAAAATGGTGGAGACTAGCGGTAAACTAGTGTGAGCTGCGTCGGTGTTTCTAAAGAAACAGTTGTGTAAAAAGATAAATTTAACACCGTAAAAAAAGTAGGTGAAATAACTTACTGATGTTTCGGACGTTAATCCTTCGTCGGAGTAAAGAGTCTTTACTCTATCATTACAAACTTTAAATTTAGAAAATGAATCGGTAATTTACCTGCACCAACGGGTCCACGAAAAAATGACCGAGTTGGCATTTTAGCTCCTGCTTCTATTCCTACGTCGTACACAAAATAGTTGCATTTGTTTGTGTTTGTTCCATGGCAACAGGATGATGCATAGGACCAGTGTGTTGAGCCTACTTTACTGTTGGCCACTTCAACTATTTTCTTACGGATAGAGGACTGGGAAGGAGCAAAAAATGTATAGGATTATTAGATCGATGCACATTATGACAAGTCGTTGACATTTTATAGATCAAACATGCAATACAGTTGTACTATTTTATATATCCTTTCGATCAAACACAGTAAAGACATTTCTGAATAGAGAATTGCTCTGCAAAACTAATATATTGAGAATCAATGAAGTTTATAACTAGAACGAAGACACTCTACCCGTGAAATAAAATCAAAATTTTTAACAAATATTATTTTATTATGCAAATAAAAGCCGTGAAGTTTAGGTCATTCGTTACTGTTCAATGTTTAATTTAGAAACTTAGAACTTTAGAACTTCACTTTTATTCTGCACAACACGATGCTACATTATTTTGTTATCTCGTGATAATCACTCGACCAGAACCGAGTCTAAGCCAAAACACAATTATATAGAAGACAATGATTTATAACAGCTTTACTTGTCTAAAATAGTGTTTATATCAGTAACATAGACTTAATCACATACACGGAGACTGGAAAGTTCTCAATAATTATATGACCCTCATGCTTAGTCATGCTTTACTACTCTTTTATGCTAGACAGTGATTTCGCGAGCCTGTGTCCAGCACTGGAACGCAAACATTCAAGTTCTTATTTAGTACATAGATATTTCAGTTTCAGATAACTTACAGCGCTTGGTGTAGATGAAAACCAGCCGTCCACAGCTGGAGCAAGCAAGAGAATAGCGATTAGGAGAATTATTATAAGCTTTACCATGCTTCTTGTTGAGGCCTAGACAAAATAGAACAAAGATTTTGAATATTAATTTATAACCAGAAACAATTCTTATTCAAGAGGGAGATCAGCTAGTTATTTGGAGAGATATCGTGCACATGAGGAACATTTAGTATTCAATTCAGTCTTGTAAAATAGGCAATTAAGTACTTTGTGATTTAAAATCAAAGAGTTGTTTGTAGGCTGGTGAGTATATGATTCAGTAATCTAACTAGACTTTTCAGCTCAAATCATTTACTTTGTTTTCAAAGAGCTAGATCGCGCTTCCCTGTCAATGACCATGTTATGTTCGACTTCAAATGCTTTGCCTACAAAAACTATGGTATGCCTACAATACCAGTTATATCCAATACGAACTAAATTACCTCTAATTTCTCTCAGAAAATCCACGAGGCATAAGAAATATCCTAACAACATGAAAACTAAAAATATTGTAATCTTTTCGTATTTTCTTTGGATTGTTTTGTTAGTACGTTAGTGAAGATTTCTTGCATTTTTCGTGGTATTTACGGGCTACTTTTTGCGAGTTAAAAAGCGTCCAAAACCGGAGTGACAACGTTTTAAAAAGATATTAAATTATTTAAGGTAAATCCTCTTTGATTTTTAATTTGTTGATGTTATTTCAAAACAGTAAGCGAAAGAAGTTTAACAATTAAACATGTTTTTGAGACCTCATTTTTAGTAATCACAAGCACTGTTAATATGTACTGTCTATTATAAATGTTTAAGAAACAAATCCACTTACTTATTATTCAAGTTGCTGTAATACCCCGAGTGTCGGGTACAAGGTGTGTCACATTGAGTGATGACCTCTCTTATAAGATATTATATTATCCGTACATAAAAACAAAAACAAAACAAACCAAAACCCAGACCTTTGCAGTCTAAACATTTCCTTATATGGCAAAATGCTGTTTATTTCCTCATTTCTGAATGAATTGATACCTACCTGACACGCCCCAACAATTTATTTGGAACTAGACCCTGACGGCAGGGTTGACTCGTGCCACTAAACATGTCGAAACTTGCATCATAAATGCATGTGCTCGCTTACTATAACGAAACATCTGTATTCAACTAGACAGGAGTTTAGTTCTCTAGTATACAATATTTTTTGACAACTTTAAATGCGTAGACACAGTAAACATCACGAGCTTGCGTAAAGCGGGCTATCATGCAAAAACCTCATCTTTCACTCTGATAGTCTTTTTTACACCAACCTTTATGATCTAAACCAAGGTCCTGATATATACTCTTACACGTGAAATGAATGTTGTGGAATAACAAAAGGGCTCGAATCTCAAAGAATTAGCTCCATTTCGGCGATAAAAGAAAATACTATTCACGCAGGAGTTTTCCTAGATGAAGATTAGAACGGTGATGATTTTATAGAGGTGCATGGGTAATCTTCTTGTTGACATCACCGCTATATCAGTTAACTTCGGGATGTTTTATTATGAATAGGTGCGATAATGACGTC